CATTTTAAAGTCCAAAGGGTCAAAATTTTAACTTAGTTTAATTTTAACAAAACTTGAACTCTAATTACAATGAATTAGGGTTCTTTGAATGATAAATAGAAATAATCAAATATCCTGAATATAAATATGTACTTAGATTTATGATTTTGGTCCCAGTTTTCAAGTTGGTTCAAATGGGGTCCATAATTTAACTGTGTTTGATTTCAACAATAATTTTAAAGATGCCGATTCAGCCTGAATCTAACCTGTATTTAGTTTTTGGGCCCTAGTATGAAATTGGTTTACATTGAGGTCCAAAGGGTCCAAAATTAAACTAAATTTTAAATTTTAATTTGATCTTGTGGTTCTCTGATATGCTGAATCTATTAAACTTTATCTTTATACCATATTTATTCTGTGTTAGAAACCTATTCTTTGTCAAATATTTAATCCCATTACAAATTTAGAGCTGTTATAGCTTGAATGTTCTGTCCAAACTTGCATTTTTTCTTCATCTTCCACAAAATTTTTCCTTTTCTGAGATAACTGGTGTTATCTTTTTAAATGAAACTTTAGTGAAAAGAAAAGCACAATATGTGGATGATTATCTGATGTCAAACATTTTCAAGATGGCCACCAAGGATGGCACAAATTTCAACACTGGTTAATTTAATGAAAATTGTTAATTAGGGATAGTCGTGGTAGTTTGACTTGCTAAACAAAGTAAGGTTGTTTTTTCTTCCAAAATGGCAAACATTTTCAAGATGGCCTTATATGAAAATTGACATTAAGGAATTAAATCACTTTTGACATGCCAACAAAACAATGAAATTTTTTTTTAAAGATGGACACAGCAAATAAAGGGTAAAATTTTCAATTTGTTGAGTTTGATTTTAAAGAATATTGATATTTAGCTGTACTTTGACACAGAGAACAGATTTAAAGATGGCCACCATTTCAAAGATTGTCACTAAAAGCGGTCAAATTATCACCATTGTCTGTTTTCAATGTAAAATTATATTGAGAGGTAATTTGACATGCCAAACCAAATGGAGGCAATTTTTATTGTTGTAAAGATGTTAAGGGCTATTTGGACATGCCTAAAAGGAGTGGATAATAACTATTCTGCAAAAATGATTTGGCTTTATTTGGGAGAATTTTGTAACTGCATCCACTTACAGTAAAAGTTGTCAATTTTATTTCCTGTCAGTGGTATATATGAAATTAAAAAAAAATGTGGTATGATTGCCAATGAGAACAAATGACATAGAAGTAAAGCTATAGGTCTTCATACGCCATATGGTCTTCAACAATGAGCAAGACCTATACTGCATAATAAAAGGCCCCAAAATAAGAAAATGAAAAAATATGAAAACTAACAGCCTGATTTATGTACTAAGTATGTATGTTTTGTGGTTTTCAGATCTAGACTCACAGTTAACCTTTCTGTCAGTGTCAACAACAACTGAACTTTCACAGCAGTCAACATCAGATTGGGAGACTGATAATGCTTCTAACAGAAACAATTTCAACCAACCAAACAAGCAACAGAAACTTTCCAACTTTAAAACATCAGTTAAATCTTCCATGGGATGATGTCTCAAAAAATAACAGTTCATCATTTATGGAGATTTTAATGTTATGGTTTTTCTTTTACAAGAAAGTTAATGTACACTTGTTTTATAGTAAAACCTATAGCCGTTCAAGTATAAAAAAACACATTCAACTTTATTGAAATTTGAAGATTCATATGACTTATTTTAATTGTGTTATCTCCGAGGATGTGATGTAGAGCATTATAGGTACAGTAATCTTAACAGCTATCCAATTTCATTCAAAATTCTTTATAAATTTTGCACTGGTATATATAGACTAAGTAATTTGTTTTTCGTCTAGTTATGGGATTTTTTTTTAGAAGCATTTATGATTTTCATGTTTGTATTGACCACATTGCAGCAACATAGATATACAATGTAGGTACCTGGCAAATCTTGCCTTGTAAGCATACTAGGCTCAAAGGGTCATAAAAAAAATTTCCATCACTAAGTGTCTGTTAAAATCATCTGTTTACAGTTTTCACTTTTAAACCATCATCTTAATAACTTTAGAAGAAGTGTCATACATATATATATGTATACAAAATTTAAAAACTTTTCAATATATATATATATATTGATAAAAACTATCAACATGACAAGATCTAAATACCCAAAATTTTTCTGAAAAATTGGACATAACATCTATGAGCTATTGTCTCTGAAATGTGTAAATTTACTTTTCACAGTTTTCTGCTACTATCCGACAACTATATCAATATATTATAAGAATAAATTGCAAAAGTGGTCAGAAGAAACTTTTTTTTTACAGTCTGCACTTATTCTGAATTGTTTAACTTCTAATTTAAATTGATTGCGTTTGAAATATGTGTTTTTTATCGTTTTAGGTGCAAAATTTGTCAATACGATCTATTTCGGCTCCTGGGAGCCTCTAGGTTTATAATGAATAATTTGTATTTATGTATGATTATTTTCTTAATGTATTAAACGTTACATTAATTATTCTTTTCCATTTGTTGTTATACTTATTTATAAGTCCAGATCCTATCGTTTGTCAGTAGTTACAAATTAGACGGCAAAATTGAGAAAATACGAATATGCAGGTTACCCCATTTTGTTGTGGCATATACCAGACACCAACATTATTTGCGGAGCTTGATATTTTTTTTGATTGGGTATATATAGTTATACTTTGCAAGTAGATATGTTGTTTTACAATAATAAACGGGTCTTGGAGTATTTTGGCTCTGAAAGATGACCAAAATCAGCCATTTTGGACATGTAGCTAAATAAGACATATTGAAACAGTTAGATTATACATACACTTAAAAGACAGCATTGTTAATTCTATGCATTCTTACACTTAAAGTGGTGTATTACTAGGAACAACTATCAAAAAATTATAAATGTTACCATATTTTTTTATTTAAACCAGCGAAATATGCCAAAAAAGGCTTATTTTTGCTGTTTTCGAGCAATTTCATCTGTTAAAACATGGCGCTCAAAAAATATCCAGATCGGTTCAATATTTTCCCAAAAACATTTGTGTGCTTATTTACATTACTAAGGTGCACCAATATGCCAAATATGAACTCATTTGGAAAAAGTGACATTCGGAAAGTTTTGCATGGTTTTCTGGCAGATTGGCTCTTAACCAAAGTGTATCCTCGTTGGTAGTTATAAAAAAACGTCAAAAATCGACGTTATACGGCCTACAACGCGACGACGTTACGATAAATTGCACGTTTTGTCGCATTTTTTTCATATAGAATACCACTTTGAATGATATATACCGTACCGTTTAAACGAAGTCAGTGACCCTATTTCTATTTTACAGCACTAAAATAGAAATTTATGTATCAACAACATATAGTTTTTTAAGAAAAATCTATGTATTTGAGATTTGAAATTTCATGATTTTAAGACAAATTTAAGAACGTTTTTCGCCGATTTTATGTGCTTTCTATACAAATATTCACCCATTTTGAAAGAATTCAATCAGTAAAATTTCAGAAAATAAAAGAAATAGATGAATTATTTTTTTTGATTTTCAGTTAAGTCGTCAATATAGGGCAACATCTCCAGTAGGAGCCTTCGGACGATTTCATCCCTATAAACTAAATTGTAGATCTTGTCTTGTTGATCATTTGTATATAAAACATTTCTCTTTATGTTTTATAATTTTCAAGATACAAGGCAAAAATTAAAAAAAAAGAAAAATTCGTCATTTAAGGGCAATAACCCCAGCTATAAGAAGTCGTCTGACAGTTTTGACGTAAAGTTAGAATAGGTAAATCATAATATTCTGAACATTTTTGCTACTGTCAGATTTTCTCTATCTATAGCCATTTACCTCATTGTTATATTTTAAGCCATGTCAGCAATGTTCGTTAGCAAACAGGGTCATCAAACACATCTTTAATACGAAATAGCCAAATGATCATTGTGGCAAAGTTTGGATAAATTTAGCCCAGTAATTTTAGAAAAGTATTTTGTAAACGTTTACGGACGACGACGACGGACGACAGACGAAGAATGCGAGTTAATGTAAAAAGCTCACTTGGCCCTTTGGATAGCAATTCTAATATAAGATCCAATACAAAAATTTCAGTCTTTGTCTCTTTTAAATTTACTGATAAATGTTAGGAACTCGTTGTATCGACATGCTTTAAATGGTACATGTGTGAGGTTTTAATTTATAAAGTTATGTAACTGTGTTAATTGGACGGTTTTTGCTAGTCCGTTTGAGCCATTTTGGTTTTATTCTTTCAAAGGTTTCATATTTTTGACTTTCTTCTTCTTTTTGGACACTCATTTCTTTTTGACCATACATTCAAGTAAGGCAGCAATCCCATATATGATACTTAATTTAGCACCCAGCAACCACTTTTCTGCACAAATGTCGGTTTATTTTTTGTATCCATGACTACTTTATACCGTGAGGTTTGATTACATTTATGTCGATTTTTTCCAATATCTGTAAATGAAATATACAAAAACGTACCTGGACATTTGACTTGTGTACATGTCTTTGAGTCTGTGCTCGAACCACTACAGACTTGCCCACTGTGTTGTGGTGCAGGGCTATCACACTGACGTTGTCTCGTTTGAGTTCCGCTTGCACATGTTACAGAACAAGTTCCCCATGAAACCCAATTGCTCCACTGACCATCAACTACAGAAAAAAATTAAACGTGTGTGAAGGAATAGTTTTGTGTATTTTAAACTTCAACACAGTATTTAAAGGAGTTTTTAATAAAAAGAAATAGCTTCACCGTGATGTAATGTAGTAACATAACTTCTCTTAAATATCTGAAAGAGAATACATAAATAAAGTGATCGATTAAAACATTTAACCTTAACTGAACAGCGCTTAAGAATATCGTGTCCTAGTTTTTGTTTATACGACTGAAAGACGACTTTCTTGAAAAATGTTAAATGAACATAAGACATAGGCATACTTACTAGGACAGGCAATAAGTGTACATGTTTTAGTTTCTGAGCTTGATCCACTACAGTCTAATCCATTGTTAGCTGGTGCTGGGTTAGAACATGCTCTAATCCTACTTTGGCTACCACTACCACAACTTAAAGAACATGAAGTCCATGTCGTCCAATCTGACCAATTACCATTTACTACAATAGAAAGTAAAACCGAAAGACTGGTATACGCTCATTGCTGCTCATAAATTAGGTTTCCAATCTTATGTTAAAGACAAAATATCTCAATGTCTTCTTTAAAGATGACTCAAATGCCGAACTTCATTTTGTAGGCTATATACAATTTATATAATATAATGATTTTAAATTCAATTGAAAAACAGAAGCGTAAAAATTCATATATCTGTTTAGAAATTTCCTATCTATTCTTGGCCCTTGGTATTTTTTGTCTAATTTTATTGGTATTTATAAAGGTTAAAAACCAAGGTTGTTACCTTGTATGGTCTTTTTAACACAAACGAAAAATATGTGTCCTACCACCAATACATATTAATAAATCAAACCCTTAACAGACATACATTATTTTCGGTGTGTTAACTGTAAATGCAAATGTTTTTACCATTTACTACTTTTAAAATTTGGAAATTTTATTAAAGCCAATGGAAACTATGTCAAGCACAGCACAGAACAGAACAAATCAAAATGTAAACGAAGCCATACCTGCACATGACGTGGTGGTACAACTTTTTGAGCTAGTCCCTGAACCACTACATTGGTTTCCATTGTGTGCAGGAGTAGGATTATTACAAGATCTTGTCTTTGTTTGATCGCCTGTTCCACAAGTTACTGAACATGAACCATAAGAACCCCAAGATCCCCAGTTACCATCAACTGAGAAAAAACATCAACGTGCAAAGATATCAGCATCGAACTCATTCACATAGTTACTAAGATGTCACTAATTCTTTAACGTAGTCTAAATAATCTCAGTGAGATAACTTTAAACGCAATGAATAACTTTCAAGATCATGTATTTTCCAGTTTAGTTTTTGCTGACGTCTTGATAACGGTTTGCAACTCAGGCTAAAATGAAAAATTGCCTTAAATTTCTCATGAATGCGTTTCAAACGAAACATTTTGCATTTTTAAAAATAATACACAAAAAAAAGAGTAAAAAAAATGTTTTGCGCTAAATGTTGGCACTAAATTTGGAATTTTGCAGTAGACGTCGATTAACCTCTATGAAAGTTAAAAATGAATTCCTCGCAAAAGATGAGGTGCCAATAATAAACTCATCATAGATACCAGGATTGAAATTTTGTATTTGCGCCAGACGCGCGTTTCGTCTACAAAAGACTCATCAGTGACGCTCGAATAAAAAAAGGTTAAAATGGCCAAATAAAGTTGAAGAGCATTGAGGACCAAAAATTCCTAAAAGGTTTGCCAAATACAGCTAAGGTAATCTATTCCAATTTACATTACATAATTTCAGAAACATTTGTAGATTTCTCTTTGATAGAAGCACGATTATCTATACCCTTTCTTTCTTTCTTTCTTTCTTTCTTTCTTTCTTTATTTATTTCAAAATGCTCAATGAAAGCCATCACACATATAAAAAAAAAGGTAAATTACAATACAAGAATATTATAACAGTGTCCACAAAAAGTATTAATAAGAAAGCAAGCCCTTAGAAACGTCCGTTATTGCTACACAAAGACAACAATATGTCACAAAGATAAGCACACCATTCTGACACTACGTTACATTTTGCAGAAGAAAAAAATATGAGCGGCAAAATTGCAAACGCTTTTGTTTCCTATGAAACGATATCATGTCTCCTTTTTTTTCTTAACTTGAGAAACCTCTTTTGAACTAATGTCCTTATGAAAGATGTGTTATGACATTGAAGTTTTTCGTCTCACTCATCAATGGCAACATATGTTACGATATATATCTAATATATGCACACATTTTATTTTAAGTGTATTTAAAAATGGCAGTTGTTTGAAATGCAATGACAACATTTGTTTAACAACGAGTTTGTGTGGATTTCCCCCTTCTTTGGAACATTATCTGAAACAAAGGTAAGACACTTTTAATTAAATTTATACTTTTCATTCAAAATTTAAGTATTCAATGAAAACTTGTCAACCTTTACAATAAGGATTTTTGAAATATCTATCTTTTGTTTAAAATAATAATGTATGCTTAGCTTGAGAAAAAAAAAACATTTACTGTGAGAAGAAATAGACCTTATCGCTATTTGGGAATCTGCGACACTTGACCCGAGAATCTGCGACACTTGAACTATTGACGTCATACAAATGTCAGACATTTTCTATTGTGACGTCAAAATTTCACGGGGACCTATGTGATATCCAGTAATGGCAGACAAATAGCGATAAGGTGTATTACACTAACAGGGACCTACTTATGCTACAAAGTACAGTCTTCATATTTGGTATGCATCAAATGACAAAGATCTATTAGGACATTGCTAGGCTTTTTTTATGGGATAAATTGTTCGAATGAATTAAAATTTTCATAAATATGTTGAATCTAAATTTTTTATTTTGTGATAACAAGTACCTCGATTTTGACTCTTGTTGAACATTTGAATACCCCATATGAAGACACAAATCATCGGTTTTTAATATTTTTATCCTTCTTTAAACATCTTTTGATTATGTGACTACTGGAAGCTAATAAACCATAATTACAAAATAATCAGACTAGCATATTTAAAAATAAAAGTAACCTGAAGTGGGTCTTTATAGTTTTATCAAGAAAACGGCTTTTTTATATTAGTTTTGAAAGAGAAAGATTAGTAATTTCCATTTTTAAATCATTTATTATCTTTTTCTTTAAACTTGTTTCTAGTGCAAATTTAGATAAAACTTGTAAAAGTTAACATATTGCATTTTATTCTAACTATGGAGAACTTACATGGAATAACTGATTGATATGTCTTTAAAATATTCTATAACATTGCAACACGAACATATTATTAACATTTTACCAATATATTCAGTAGTAAAGCATATTTTGATTTGATCTGGCCTCATTGTAGTAGAATTTCATACAAAAGTATCGGCAAAGGGAAGTAACTCGTAAATTGCTAATTGGAATTGCTGCGTAACATATTTGACAGATTGAAGTGGCACATTTGCGTATAATAGCATATAAAGTGGCTCAATTTTGATATGATATAGTTTGTGTAATGTCTCATTATATATCTTAACTTCAGACTATGATGATGGAAAACTACGCCCAACGTTTTTAATTATTGATGGTATTGTAATGTATTAAATTATCATATCAAAAAGGTTTCTATCCAGTTAAAATCCTGGGTTGTTTCAAATTATGATACATGTATTAAAAGTAGTTTTTAACCAAAGGCTATATTCATATTATTTTTCTATATTAAAACAACAGGGTTGAGTGGAAATATAGAGTACACATCAACTATTATTCAAGGTGTTCGCCAGGATGATTACAAACATCATTTATCAAAAAATACACGAGCTCTAAATTGTTGTTGTTTGTTGCTTTAAAATTAAATTGCTGAAGAAAAATAAATATCAATATCGCCAGGCGGAGAGAGCCGAACATTTGTGACGCACGATGAGGATATTTGGATAAATGAGCTGAATTATGATAGACTTGTTCGATAACTGATCAATTGCATAACTAGTTTTTGAAAGTAAAGGCACCAATAGCACATTGTAAATATGAACGATAACAGAGAACCTACAAATTCAGACAAAATAACAAGAAATACACTTGGACAGCAATATTCCTGACGAAATGATAAAGAGTTACGTAACAATTTCCTCTGAAATTATTTCAAACGAGGTCCATTTCTTAATAGTCTTTACTCAGAGTCATATAGTTGATCAGCTTTATACAGATATATATATAAATATTTCTAACTCTAGAATAAACACATTTTTGTACATATATTAACTTTATAACAATTTAATTTTAATTATTCCTATACTATAACGTGCATACAGATTTTTTTTTTAATTTGAATTGTTTTTATTGTATTTATTTTGAAATGACCCCTTATTCATCCGATCTCAGCATGTAAGAGTAAGTGTAATCCTAGGTATAAACCTAATTTCCGAAAAAGTCTATCACGATTAGGATTAGGATTATTATCATTATGATTGACACGGTTACTTACTTGGACAATAGATAGTCGGTGAACAGGAGCTTGATTGACTTGTGTCACCAACGCACTGTGTTCCATCATACTGTGGTGCTGGATTCGAACAAGTTCTGATTCTGGTATATGTTCCAGACGCGCTAGGATTGCATGATACGGAACAACTACCCCATGATGCCCAATCTGTCCATGCACCGTTAACTGTAATAGGCAAAAATACAATGTTTATAATGTTCGCTTATTAATTGTAAATAGTATTGATTACCCAGTCTGTCATTCAAAATACCTCAGCCATTAATTAGTGTCAATAAACAACTCGTTATGGTGATAGAATCGCTCTAATGGCAGGTGATCATTAACCTGAGAAATGCTTCTTCATTATGTTGTTACATTGAAATTAAATCTATCATTGTCTGTAAGATTTGAAAACTCGACTGTCATATAGTTGGGTTAGAGTGTTCCTGATAAAGGTAAATATTGAAAAGCGCTTCGGACGCACCAAAATTTGTTAAGTGTTATTTTAATTTTCAGGCAACGAGTGGACACCGCTGCTGGCAGGCTTCTTATTCCCGATGTATCATCAGCTCAGTAGTCAGTGATTCGGTACTATTTGCATTTAAAACATACATTGTTACATTCTCTGTTCAAAGAAATTAGATCATTGAGAAATTAAATTTACTAACTCCGGCAAAATTGACCGTAAATATAAAAGATTTACCAGAATTATTCGATAAAGTAATAATGATAAATTCATTAGGTAAAACAGCGCTTACCTGAAACTATTTTCATCAAGAAAGTTCTAATCACGTTGGAAGCTAGGGATGTATAAATAACTGATTGGGTATCTGACAAAACAAAATAGTTGAAAAGCATATCCAAACCATCTGAGGTTAACTTTGCCTGAGGGAGTTGGAACCTTTGTTGTCCTAATAACTTCTTAAATTTTCAGCTGTCATTAATATAGTCCGAGCCGAAACACTGACTAATTGGCTGATGATAACCTCGGGGACTAACAATCCACCAGTAGTCGTATCAACCTAGTGCTAGTAAGTTATAAGTGCTAGTATGTAAACATACTACTATACAAATTGGTTACATCCGAGGAAGTTTTTTTTTTATTTACCGTCACCAGAAACGGTATAAAATGTCAGGGATGTATACATAGTTGATGAGCTATTTGACCAAAAAAAAAAGGAACTTCCAAAACAATCTAGGTCCATTTGACAGATATATTCTTTTATAGCAACATTAAAACTGATCACTACATAAATAAGTTTTTTTAATCAGCTCAAGCTTTTCAAGCGCATATAAAAGAAATATTTGAAATAGTGAAAATTTTGTTAGAACTGATTGAAAGTGGCAGATATAAACTAATCAAAAGAGAAAAAATATATTTCCAATCATTATGGTATAAATGCAATAGAAGATGAACCCCTCTTCTATAACTCTAAAATACAAAACTCTTCGTCTTGATTTTAAATAAATATCTATAAACAAATTCCAGATTTCAATAATTTAGATAAAAAGACAAACCAACAAAATCATTATATTAGCCTGAACTTGTCCAGTTAATAAATATACTATAACATTAACAGTACCAATTTTCTGCCTTTTTTATAGTCACTTATGGTACATGGTATAATTGAATGAATTATACATGTTTCCTCCATTTATCGATTACAGACTTGTCAGAATACTTAGTTCTCGCTTATTTTCAAAACGTAGTATTCTCCCTTACACAGTTCTTCAAAACTACTTACTTGGTGGCGGTTTTGCACAGTCTTCATCTGATACGCCGTCGCCATCGTCATCTGAATAATAAAAATAAAACAAATAGGTATAAGATATCATGCGTTAAATAGGGATGGTAAATCAAAACCTTGGATAATAAGTCGATATGCAGTCATTGGTTGTTTTTGTGATATATTTGGTAAATCAAAACCTTAGATAATAAATCGAGATGCAGTCATTGGCTGTTTTTGTGATATATGAACACAGGTACTTGTCTCTGAAAAAAAGGCCTAGGTATATATGTTTGTTTTTTTCAGAGACAAGTGCCTGTGGTATGTAGTCGTTTTGATAAGTGATTGGAATAATTCGTGTGTAACGTTTCTGAGTATTGTCGAATTACTTTTGTAGTCCGTCTAGTTGATTTTGAACAAAATAAATTACTTAATTTTGAATTATAACATTAAAAAATAGTAAGATATTCATCCAGATTATGGGGCCCTGCACTTGTGTATAACCTTTTATTTAGCTTCGTCCATATTTTCCTAAGTTTTAAAGTGAAAACCCAACCACTGAACGATTTGTATTGATTCTGAAACAAGTTTACAATAAAAAAAAATCATCACAGAACCAGGCTTATAATTTGGTACACCAGACGCGTTTCGTTTTTCCAAAGACTAGAATAAAATGCATTAACAAATGTTATGAATATTTGACTCAGCAGATTAACTGAAAAAAAAAACGTATTTACATCGTCATTTCTTCATATTTTTTTTTACATTACCATTATTTTGATTTGCTGTTGTGCACAGTTCTTCATCAATAAGTCCATCACAATCATTGTCAATACCATCGCCGACGACTGTGGAAGTCGGAACACATATCTGCAATTATATGGGAAGTACGAAAATAACTATTAAGTAACGGACATCAAGAAATATTCCAGATAAAAAAATGCTTACATAAAAAAGGAAATATGGTATGATTGCCAATGAGACAACTATTCAGCAGAGTTCAAATGACCTCAAATGACCTTGATATAAAAAATCATAGGTCACTGCATGGCCTCCAACAATGAGAAAACCCATACCGTATAGTCAGCTAGAAAAGGCATCAGCGTGAAACAACAAACGGTCTTATCTATAACAATACAATTAACGAAAAACAAATATGACAGACATGAACCAAAGGGCACCACTGAATTACAGTCTTTTGACATGGATCAGGCATATAAATAATGTGGCATGTTTATGAGCCCTCAATCATCCCCTTAACCTGCTAACTCTGTAAACTCTTTATGTCATAATTTCATGTATTTGTTAATACACTTGTATATGTCTTTTCCGTGAATATGTAGTCTTTTTGCGGAGGCCTTGATAGTGCGAATAAAAAAAAAAATGTATTATAAAGAAAACTATAAACCGAAGACATACATCTGTAAATGTAGTCTGAAAGTCGCATGTGTACGTCATCGAGTCAGCAATCCAACGACACAAATAACCCGAACACATCTATAAGTCCAGATAGTCTTCATGAAAAGACAATATCCAAACAATTGGCCAATCTCTAAATCATACAGAGCCTATAAAATAGTGAATAAATTGAACAGAGATTATCAAACACCAAATGCACCAAATAACAAAACAACATACAAATATGACATAAAGCAACCACTAACGAGATTACCGACTATGGACAGGGAAATTTTTCATATACAAATATTTGGTTGGCTTACTCTAGTTGGAAAGCTTCATGGTTCAATAGTCACAATTTCACACAAATATTTGTGCTTACACTTGGCGCAGGGATCACTCAAGATAACTGAGTAGAAAGATTATTAGGAAATACCATCTTGAACAATCAAACGGACAAAGGAGAGTGTGGCCAGTCTAATAGCTAAGAGAAAATTCAATAGAAGTTACAGTAGTGAATTTTATAGAAATTATTTTCTCTATAATTGTACTTATCAATATTTGGAATGTATTAAATATACCGAATTGATTTTTGCCATCCTCATTCCTGTAGTAAACCCATACGTTTCCTTGTTAGCCTTTCCATAGAGAAATCCCCCAAATATAGAAATTGGCGAGGTATGGCGAACAGTATGAGATCCTTCCGATACTGAAATGTATCCTCCTACAAGATCGGTATCTGGAATATCGTAGTACGCAGTGTTGGCTGGGAAAGAACCTCCGTTTAGATTTAGTCCATTTTTATCTGCCTTGTTCACCACAAAAAGGAAAAAGTTTTCGTAACTTCCTCCACTATATTTAGGTGTTGTGAATGTGTAATCGGCAGCATATTGTTCTATAGGTGGAATTATAAGCATAGCGGGATCAGCTGGTTCTGAGCTTGACAACTGACTTTTAACAATCATCACTAAGGATATTGGTTTATCTGCTGTAATATAGCAGTAATTGTTGGAATTGATCGAAATTTGTCGTTGGTCACCTAAATTGGATAAGGTGAATGAATTTGTCGATATCTTCCCGTTTTTATTGCATTTATAGGTAACTTGAGTAGAACCTTCACTAGCAATGAATTTAAAGTAATCTCCAGTTGTTCTTGCTGGTGTAGGAACAGTTGCAAACCTCTTTCCCCACGTATTAACTGGAGTTAGCTGCTCTACCAAGTGATCCTGACTGCTTCCTGATCCGGTGTTTGTTTTCATGTTTCCACTGAATGCTGAAACAGGTTTGTCACTAGTTATACGAGCTCCAGTTAGATCACCTGTGCTTTGCAGATGAATTGCATCAAATCTGTTCAAAATGACAGAAATTGTCTGACCTTTCGAATATTGCTGTCCATTATAGGTCACGCTTCCACAATTTGAACAGGATGGCAGCTTTATTTGAACATTGCTCGAGTCGCTTACGCCTACAACACATAGCTGTGCCTTACGGTAAGGTGGATAATAGGTTACAGCAAAATACTCATCTGATAGGACATCTACAGGGAGACCAAGGAAAGCATCGTTGGATTTTGTCTGTTTGTTGACACCATAAATAACCACTTCATCGTCTGCAGACACAAGAATACCTTTTGACTCTTTCACTGTTCCTTCCAAACGCAAGTTAACATCAATAAAAAGTTGCTTGACGATGCCTGCTGTTACAGTGAATTGTTCGTTGACAGATGGGTTGGTCCATTTAGGTGACGTGACTTCGACGTTTACTGTTGATGTACGTGATGTCGTTACGAATAATTCCAGATCGTAATCTACTTTATAATTATCCATGAAGGCAATGACAAACTCTGTTCCTCTATTGTCTGGTGCATTTTGTCCTACATTACACATAGAAGCATATTTATATTATATTATTCAATGTCATTCACTACTGTCTTTGTTCAATTAGTGCATTTTTGCAATACTAGGCAAAGGTAAATGGGAAAAAAACCTGAAGGATTAAGGAGTCACTTATTGATCAGGGGTCTGGTTTTCGAAAGTATCTTATGACTAAAACATGTCTTACCATGGTTGTAGGACATGCCATAGTCGTAAGATATGTTTTTGAACGTTACCCAAGTTACGATATGTCATAACTTTTATCGTGAACTTATAACACCTCGAAAACATGACCTATGATGGTCTTATGCTTATCATAAAAGTTACGACATCTCTTCAACTCCTCTAAGGTGATCATTGTCATTTACTGCATTTATCTTTGGACATGCCCTCCCATGCTCTCTTTTTGACACTGTTTGTTGAGGTTTTCGATAGTTATAATGTACAAAATATCAATTATGTGTATCTTTTAGATTTTCGCCTTTGGTTTATTGATTGATGCAAATAGTGTATGTTAGTCAGGAAGATAACATATTTTGGATATATCATTCTTTATAATTGTTAACACACTAGGAAACAACGGCCCATAGTAAGACATAGCTGATTATTATAATAAAAACAATCTATCTCAATAAAAAATTTAGCATCTGATGTTGAAACGATTGAAATTCTAAGATGTATTAATGAAGTTTTGTCATTATTGAAAAATATACAATTTTAGAAAAGCTGATTTATATAACATTGTGTGCTTTTTAAAATGAAGGAAACATTAAATTAGACCTGAAGCGGAAGAAATCTCCACTTTTTAAATGATTTATCCTTTTTTTGTTATCACAAAACTAGCTCATTGCCATTTCATTCCATCTGTTGAAATGACCATTAAATATGAATTACATCCCTTTTATTAACCATGTTAACATTTAAAGTGAGCTCATATTAAGATTTGATTATTACATTAGGAGAGGCTAATTTTGTTATGTCACTCGAAAGTGTGAATATGTTCTAAATTGGTCAGACAATTCTTGGTCATGTTTTATGAACATTTAATACCCTCGGTTACGCCTCGAGCTTTAAATATTCATAAAACATAACCAAGTATTATCTAACCTATACGTAAACATGACCAAGTATTTTTCTGACCAATTTAGAACATATTCACACCTTCGAGTGACATACCAAAATGAGCCTCTCCCATTGTAATAATCAAACCTTATTGAAGCTTAAAAGTGTTCAATATTAAATCATAGTGCGTTAGACACGGTGCAGGCGGTGTTGCCACGGTGTCACAGAAGCAAGGGTTCGAACAAAAGGAAGAAAACAAATTTGAACATCTTACATTGTTGGGCTAAATTTGAGACGAACTTTATACATATACTATGGTGTTAGACCTGTATAACCACGTGTTATCCCATGGTGAATGTCTGTCATAATTGGTTGTCACATGTTAAGACGCGTATATATATATATAACAAAACTTTATACAAGCCCCAACGAAATACAAGGTGATAAATATTTCAAACAATATCTTCATATTTTCAGACGAAAGAAATATTTAGGTCCAGCTTTTGAAGAAAATATTAAGGAATTTTCCAACGAATATTTCTTTTTGGCTTGATAGTTTTAATAATAACGGTAAAATTGTATTTTTCAATTAGCTTATTTATAGTCTGAAGTATTACTAAAATGTTTCTTTTGTTTTTCTGCATTGATATTATGTACCGTTTCTTGTGGGCTTTGCCCAGGGTCGTGTCTTCCTGTACTTTTATGACGTTGCTAAATAAAATCTTCTATGATGTATAGTAACCTATATTTGAGTGTAGAGCGACATGATTTTCTGTCAGGTTAGGTACTTTGAGCTTACTTTTAAGCTTAGAAAAACCGTGTCTAATTAACAAGTACAAAAATATTGTTTATGGTTTTGTTTTCAGAATATTGCTCAATCTAATTATTCAGAAATGCGGAAGACTTACTATAAAAATTTATTGATAAACCATTCAAAGCGTATACTTACCATAAGAAGAGGACAGTAAGCTTAACAAAACCGCTTGGAATATCATCCTTCTGCAGTCCTTCATAGGCACTATCCCTAATGAATAACTAAAGGACAAATTAAGAATCGAATAATTATAGTTTTCTCAATTTCGAACAATCAGGCGACAGCAATACTGTCCGGGGTGTAGGAAAAATAAACGGAAGCATACCAATTTAGTGCGAACGAGTGACAAAATAGTCTAAGTAGTTAAAAAAAGTACTACGGCATCACCAGCCTGTCGACACGATAGTTGTGAGTTCGATGACCGCATTGATTCCAATCTTAATTGACTAGAAATGCCAGTTTTTCTGCTGATGGTCGGTGGTTCTCTCTCTTCCTCCATCAATGAAATAAATACTGTCCGCCACGATATCGCCAAGTAGTGCTGAAAGTGGCCTTTAACACTAACAATCAATCAATCAATCCGTTTGAACAACTTTATTATTGCTAGGTTATTTCAAAGACAACAAGTCGAATATTCTCAATATTTATCAGTTGATGACAGAGATAGTAAAATGAAGACAAATAAATATTCCTAATTTTGTATTAGAGATTTGAAAATGTGTGTGTTGAGTGTTGAATAACACCAGAGTATATATCCCAAATCGCCTGCTTGTAGGACAGTCTTTCATTGTTTTTGCAGGAAAAACATAATCATAAAATACGGCTACATTTTTTATGACATGAAATGACAAAAAAAAATTCATCCAAACATGTTTGAAAATACAATTCATAACACACTAAATAAAAATATCTCGACTTACAACTTGAAGTTTGATATGAATCCTTTTTGCTTCGGTTTTGTAGCTATAGGTGGTATATGTCTTACTTAATTTTATTACCTGTATACGCATGTTCTATATGCTCAAAGTTAATCGTTAATTTAAATGTGATTATAGAATTATGAAGCCTGCATTTATGAAAATAGGTGAATATCCTTACATTTAATCTGAAATATAGGTAATTATAAAGTTTAGTGTGTTTCAACTGCCGTTTGGATTGCGGACAATTTTTTTTAAACTGAATAAATGCCTGTATTTATTGTTCACAGTCTATACCTTAATACGATTAAATAATTGGTGTGTTTTATTTCAGGTGCAAAAACTATGCTCCATCGGGAATATTTATTCTTTTTTTTTTATTTGTTTCGATTTTTAAATACCTAGTAGATCTTAACTTATATAAATGGACACCAATAGATATTATACAATTTTTTATGACTATACAGGAAAAAGCCCTGCAGGAGAAAGATAGATTATACCATGTTCAGATTTGGTGTCTTTGACTAAACAAACAAACAACTGATTTTTATAGTTCGTTCTTATGTTGTACTGTTACACCACTGTTCCAGGTTAGGGTCATGGTTGGGATCCCGCTAACATGTTTAACCCCGCAACATTTTGTATGTATGTGCCTGTCCCAAGTCAGGAACCTGTAATTTAGTGGTTGTCGTTTGTTGCTGTGTTACGTATTTGTTATTTGTTCTTTTTTTTTGTTCATTGATTAGGCCGTTAGTTTTCTTGTTTGAATTGTTTTACATTTGTCATTTCGGGGCCTTTTATAGCTGACTCTTCGGTATGGGCTTTGCTCATTGTTTAAGGCCGTACAGTGACCTATACTTGTTAATGTTCGGGTCAATTTTTGGTCTCTTGTCTCTTGTGAATAGTTGTCTCATTGGCAATCACACCACATCTTCTTTTTTATATGCATGCTCCTACACATGAGGATAGATGAAACAGAAGATGGCCAGGGAACACAAATGACCAGCTGTATATGTATTGTTCATATATAAAATAAGTACTGTGGCTATTTAGACCTGTAATATGAAAATCTTTCACATACTTTAATAAATTAAAAATCCGTTCTATGAAGTTCACTTAAGAAATAACAGTACCGAAGTTGAAGAGTTGCCACCGTCAATTGGCGATTTGATAGTCGCAAATGCAGTTTTACTGGCGACGTGTAACAGAGACAGTAAAACGGAAATTTGCGGCCGTTAAATCAAAATTAACGGTGACAACTCTGCAACTACAGTACTGTTATTCCGATTCTAAAGCATTACAATAAGAAATAATACGTTAGAGCTTGAAAAAATGTATAAATTTGAAATACAAAAAATTCCGCGAAACTTCATGAATGATTTTGGCGCAAAGACGTCATGGCTAAACGTGACGTCATACAAATGAAAACTTACAAACCGAAGGTGATTACGTTACTTCTACGATTCAAATTTGGATAAAATCACATCAAAACGGCGATTTTGAAGTAGGTGTTGTTTTATTTTCGATAATATTGTAGTAATCGAAAACATTTGTTGATCCAAGCAATTCAAAATGGCGGGTCCCGCCTTAGTTTAATAAGTTGCATTCGAGTTACCTCCCTGTGTACGCAAACCTTTCCTTAATTGAAAGGATATAACATTACCCTAAAATAGTAATGGAAATTTATTTCCACATAATGTTTTCCCCATCTTTATATAATATTAGTTTTACAGTATCAAACCATACTTGTTTTCTCAAACGGCTGCCTGCTATTCGGTAATTTTAATTATCAGCGTCATGACTGGCCATGCAGTACCTTGCTTACACGGAAATATCGCTATTGATAAAAACATCAAAGAAAGAAAATATATAATATTAACGTAAAAATCAATTCAAAGTCATAGATATTTATCCTGCAAAGAAATACACTATTTGTCGAAATGCCAATTTGGCGTAACAAAATAGGTCCAAATATGTCGGCAGTCACCCCACGGATGATTCTGAAGTGTTAAATGATCCTCAGCGATTCCCTTTGTAGACAAAAACAGGATTTTGTTAAAAAATCTATAATTTCTCCTGAAATTGTTTTAAGAAAAATCGAGATGTGGTATGATAACCAATGAGACTCCTATCCATAAAGACAAATCAATGTATCCCTTTTGAAAAACTACGGTCGTCTTCATGGTTTGGTTGACCATAATGGAATATTTATGTCTCAGATGATCACATA